TCTTGTACACTAAACTGAGCAGAAGCCCACAAAGACTCTTTTACCTCATTTGTTCAGAGTGTGAATGCAAAGCTAATAAGAGTAGGAAAACCTAGGCCGGAGCTGAATCTTGTGTGCTCCCAAAATATTCTCCCCGGTCAATTCAGATATTGTATATTGCCGGATATATGAGTTTTGCATTTGATTTCAATACTTGGAAAGCTTTAGGCAAATTGCAATTATTGTTCTATTTACAGGAGCTGCAACAAAATACTGCAGTGTGAAATGCTTGTTTAGTGCTCTAGTAGGTTTCCAGGTATCACTCTTCACTTTTATTTTTCTTCAGTAGGCACTGTTTTCATTTAATATGTTCAGTCCCTGATTCATATCTTTTTTCCTCCTGAAGATTTGGATATGTGGACATACACATAAGTGTGGAGTGGACACAAACACTTTTGTAAATATTGGGATTTCTCCAGACCTATGAATTTCCCACTTCTGAGTGCAGAGTAATACTTTGGCTACATAAGAACTGATACTCAGCTAATGAGTTTGTTATTAAACTAAATAATAGCATTTGATAACTTTTACATGGATCTGAAATGAGGAGAGCTGTTTACTTAGAAACAACACAGGATACATTAAAGATTAGGGCTGTGAAAACTCATCAGTCCTTTTGCTGATTTCTCAGAATCTCACTAGAATTCTCATCCCATATCCTTTCTGTATTAGATATTGGGACTTTTTCTGTCTGCATATATTTTTCCTCTCTTTCCCATAGTATCTGCATTGTTGGTCATATTTAATGCTTGCAGTAGTTTAAAATTGGATAATTAAGTGGTGGGATATTTTGGAAGGTCTGAGGGCCACCTAAGCCTATTTTCCAAACCTGATCCCATATGAAAAAATGATTGGGGGGTGGGGGAGTAAAAATGGTCACTCATGTTCTCAAAATGGAGAGGAAAGAGGGTATTGGCCATTTAAAGAGTATTGGCGTCCATGTGCCTATTTTGGGACCCAAAGGATTATAAACAATAACTTAGAAGCAATGGATGATACTTTTAAAAATTGTAAGGATATTTGGATGTCTAATATAACAACAACAACAACAACAACAACAACAACAACAACAACAACAAGTGCATCCGTGGGCTGCAGGCCACAATTTATTCATGCTCAAATGTTTGTGCGCATTTGCCAGACACCAATTTATCCAAAGCACACATTTTCCTACACTTATTATCTGTAAAAACTTATTTCCAGTCTCACAACTGTACAGATTTCCTGGGCAAAATGTATTTTGTCAGGCTTGAGATGAGTGAAATTGATCTTCTTAAGAAATGTGAATCCAATGGATTTCTTTTTCATCCTTGTTTGGCAGCTTGAGTTCCAAAACTACAGAACAAAAACAGATTTAGCATCCAACCAGTCAGAGGCATTGAATATTATCTGAAAGTGAAAGGCTCAGCCAGTCCTCCAATTGCACGGGTGCAGTTATTTGCAGCACTGCAAAGATAAATCTTATGCCAAAGAAGCCAGACAAACACAACTGCTTTTAAACTGGGACTGTTTGATCAGGGAGTGTATTTTTTTTGCCTCCCTTCTGCACTGAACCTATGGCTTATAATGCTTTTTCACATCTGATGATCAACAGTAACAGCTTTTGCATTTGACATTGCCATAAAGAAACAACCCACAACACAAAAGAAGCTAGTACCAGCATTTTACAATAAGCATTTTCAGTTTTTAAGTAGTAAGTTTTCAATTTCACGTTTAAATCTTAAGTCAAAACTTGAAATCTGGGAAAACGTCAAACATTTGTTTCAGGTTTTGTCCAAATACTGTTTCAAAAATATGAATCTACTTGTCACTTTGCTCAATTCTAAAAATTGTAACTGACTGCTGTTTGTTTAAGATACACCTTCAGGAGCCTTTCCATCATGGATTGACAGAAGCTGTCAGTGGGAGAAATACTAATTGCTGATAAGTTTATCAACATGAAAGTGCTGCTAATAGGTCATCTAATGCCACAAACCAGCTAATCCATTTTTGTGAGCGACTGACATGTCTCTTCCACTGAATATGTGCCCTTTTGCAACTTAATTATTAACTTGAAATAAAATAATTCCTTAGCACCTAGACTGGAAATAATCTAGAAACCACTTTTGGGGGGGTTTGGATGCTTTTTAAAAGCCATTGAATCCTCACAAGCACAGCAACAATTCTGAAAATATAACCCTTCCTGGCTGCAGCTTCCTGCAAAAGAGCATTTTTCATTATGCTTGTAAGGTGGGGAGGGAGAAAGAAAGAGGCAGAGGGAGAAGCCATTTGGTGTTCAAAAGGCATGCTATGTGCTCAAAGACAAAGATAGAAGTAGATGCCAGAACCAGATATGAAACAGGAAGGAAACAGAGACAGAAGGAAAAGAGAGGTGAGACTTTACCCTCAGTAGACTATGGAAGGCCCCTCTCATGGATGGGGATAAAGAAAAGGGACAGAAAGTATCAAGCTACAGAAGGCAGAGTGCTACCGGGACAGGGGCATGTAGAGCCTCTCTTGATTGGAGTCCTTTAAAAAATCAAGCAATTCTGTTAAGAACAATTTCCTTGTAGCCTTCAGAACAGAACCACTTCACATGAAGAATATGAGACAACTGGCATGTGACCAGCTGGAGTTCAAGCTGACTGATCATGTCCTCTTTCAATAGACTTAATGTACTATTTTAGTGTTTCCAGCCTTCCAAACCAGAAAAAGCCTTCACTTGTCTAACCAGATTACTAAACTGGCTTTTCAACAATGAGTTTGTGTAGTGGTGTTCCCATCTTAGCCTGGGCAGTTTCTTGGCCATGTGCTGTATAACAAGAGTTTGGGACCAGGCTACCTGAAACAGCATTATGATGGAAACTCCTTCTAGCTACTTCTCTTATTATTTAATGCTGGGTTCCTACCTTTATTCCTTCTTATAACCCCTTCCCTTGGTTTTATTATAGGGACCCCAAGGTAGCACCAAACCCAAGACAAGAATGTGTATTATTTTAGGGTTCATGATGGTTTAAGACTGAAACTTAGACATTCCCATAAATGAAACAACTCACAAAAACTTGAGCAATGGGGTTCTTTATTTAAAAGGCCTCTTTATGACTGCATACCTTAAGATGGCTCACCACTTTGTCAATTTCTAATCTTCTCTGTCTCCCTTTCCTTCTCCACCTCCCACTTCAGACTCCAAATATGACTAACTATTGGCTACAACTAACAACTCGGTTAACCATTCAACTGCCAACCTTTTCTATTTCTCTCATCTTCCTTCCCAATTTTACAAGGGCTGTGCTTGGTTAATTCATGGCGTCAACGGGCCTCTGGATCTGCTATCATCACAATCTCTCACTCCCAAATGGGTCCACCCAAATTTTAAGATCTCCTTTATATATTTTGATCTGAATCTCTCAATGAGGTAAGGCAGGTGACTCATAGCAAGAAAGCCTTGGGTGGTAGCAACCCAGCTATGGAGTAGCTTCTGAACACTATTTTAATGGTCCTTTTAATACATGAAGACTTTTTTATACACCAGGTATTTTTAAATAACTTCTAAATAAGCAGACCTACTGTATTTTAATGATTAATTTGTTTATGATCCAACCAGAAAACCTCTATTATGGAACAATTTCATTCAATAGTAAGTCAACCCTATGAGTGACCTTTAGAAGTTGTGAGGCAGTCTCATGCTGGACCTCTGCTGGGTTCCTGTGCATCTCCAAAACTTATTCTGGAAAGTAGGAAAACCCTCTCGATGTAGTTTTTGAGTAGTACTGAAGTGTGTACATATGAAAAGAATTTCCATGGCAATTACAGCAAAACCAAATGAACCCATGATTGTGAAACAGATGTCCTATCTACATTCACTGCAGGACTATTTAAAAGCTCATACACATAATTTGATTCCTTTCCTATGTTAGCTTTGTATTGTTAATTCTATATAAATCTTACTTCCGTATACATCTGATGACTTTGTATCTTAATCAGTGGATGAGAAAAAACACTAACTTATTATCTATTGAGGTTTCACGATTTTGTTGTCCTATTCATGCTCTGGGTATTTGTATGGTAAAATCATTACCAGCAGACCACTTCTTCAGTTGATTTAATACAGATTATCTTGTCTGCTGCAACAGAGAAAGTTTAAATTGCCAAAACAAAAAGGACACTGAGAAAAGCAGATGCTATGAAGATTGACTGTGGTCTACCGAATGCTACTGAGATAAAAGCTTTTGGTCAGGTAGTCTTTTCAGTCCCTGTCCCCTTTCCTTCTGTGTTATCTTTGTAGATTGTACATCTGATGGCAAGGATCATCTGTTATTACTTTGTAAACTGCTCTGAGGGCATTTCCATTTGAAATAAACGTGGAACCATCAAAATCTTGCAAGTACTCTATTTTTAAAACATAATTCTTTTTTTCCAATAACTAATGTCTAACTACTTCACAATAAGTTACATCAGCAGTGTAATTAGCTTTTCTGTAGCGATATGGGTATAATTTCATTCATCTGTGATGGAACCTTGCATGACTCAAATGTTTGTCAATATTGCTGCTTCTCTGATGTTGAAGGTCAAGACCGGGGGTCAGGGATGTGCTTTGTACCTCCAGCTTCTGATATTCCTTTTTAAAAGTAAGTATTTTAATTGCCTTTGGACAAGAAAAGAAAATATATTAAAGGAAAATAGAAAATATATTAGAAAAGAAAATAGAAAAGAAAATATATTACAATTATAATTGTAACAAATTACTACTTAAACTGACTCTGGCATGGTCTAATTCCAAGATGAACATCAATAACCTATTTCAGCATTTTCTGCATTAGCTCAGATGAGAACTCTGTTACTCATGTTTCCGTAACAGGGATGCTATGGATTGACGCTAGGAACCATATACTGTCAAATTGATATCCTTATTGTCTTCAACATTTTTTTAAAAATCTATAGGAAAAAAACCTTGCTTTCAGCAGTAACATTCTGTTTTTTAGGTAATGGTTAGTCAACCCAAACTTGGTTGACGTTTCATTCAGTCATGGAATCAGCACACCATCATTTGCAGGTAAGACCACATAGTAGCAAGGGGACTCTGAAAGGTTAGGTCATCATTCTCTGATGAAGAGGGCAACAACCTTTTATGGTGAGATTTGGAAGTCACAAGAACACTAACCAAAACACATCTCTTGACCCACAAGGTCTAAAATAAGCCCAGAGAAGCCTGAAAACATGACTGAGGATAACATGACCACAGGATACCTGTATATGTCAATTAGAAGCCACTATAGCTTTGACCAACATTTGCATAGCTTTGAGGCAGATGAGTGACATCCAATGAAACAAGTGCAATATCCCTGACAAATGTATAAATAACTCGGATTTTTGCAATGCTTTGGCGGATGAGGAGCGCTTCACATACATTGTGAAGTCAGAGTTACCTGACTTTAAGAGTTACCTGACTTTAAGAAAATCAGTCCATATCACAAAATCCTAGTTCGGGACTTCCCAGCCTACACTGAACTTGCTCAACTCACACTACATCTAACAGAATTCTGAATAAATATGCTGTTGGCCACTATATTACTCAGCTCTCCTTAATGTGTCATGAATTGTTTTCTCTTGAAGGAGGATCCAGTGTAAATCGTTTGGTGACTGCATCGTTCCAGTACCCAAAGAAAAACACCACACTGACTGCCGAATGTCTTCCAGGCTCAGTTCAAGATCTTGGGTTTTCTTTTTGAAAGCAAACCCAACTGTGTAGGGCATAGCTATTTGAAGGAATGTCTGTTTATTCAAATTAGGAGAGAGGACCTCTTGAAGGTTCTCCAAAGTTACTATTTGAGTGCTGATTCTGGGGAAAAGGCGGGTTATAAAGAAAAACCATGATCCTTGTTTGCAGAGCCCTTATTTTCACATACTCTCTAAAACTGCAACTGGCCCCCTTCTCTCTGTTTTCAGGAAGGAGTCAAGACACATGTCTTCAATTTGACTTTTTGAAAATAATTTTATTAGTCTGGTACAGATAAATGATCAATTTTATCCTGAAAAGGATTGCAGTGGAGTAAGCACATTATCCGTTCACAATTTTACTCTTCACAAAATAGGATATCACTAAATGGTATTTCATGAGCTGACTCCCAAATTAAATGAATTGAAACTGGCAAAAAAGTTTTTTAAAAAACAAGAAAAAAATATCAAGAAAAACACCCCTTCTTGCACAATCTGTTCGGCCTGGCTCTTCACCTTCTAAAATCAGAATTTATGAGGTATGGTATTTAATGGAAGGCGGGGGAGCGACATCTTATATAGGACATGAATAAGATAAGTAGAAAGGCAAAGATAATAACATGTCAGTTTTTGAATGTTTCCAGACACCAATGCTAGGAAGCAAAGACAAGCTTTAATACAACTTTCACGCATCTGACCTGGGTGTGGAATCCACATTTTCAGTTTGACAGAAAGGGTAGTTTTTGAGAGATTGGCTACATAGCAACAATGAAGAGACTGAAAACTAATAATTATTTTGATACAAGAAGGCTAGAGTTTTACAGTGCTCAGGCTGACACGTAATATGAAATCAACCGAAAAGGTCTTGCCAATTTTATTTTAAAATGAAATCAAATCAGCTTAGAATTAATAGTTACATAAGACAGACCATGTATTATCTTAAACATAAATCTGCATTAACATGAGGAGAAACTCTTAGAATATTCTAAGTCCTGCAAGAGCCTCTTCTAGAACAATAATCCTGCATGGACATCTCCAAAACATCAAGACAAGTTTATCCAGCCAAAATGACAGAACAAAAAGTACAAAAAGATTTGAAATCCTGCATTAGAAATACAAATTTTGTTTGATGAATTCTTGCAGTTCCTCCTGTAAAAGAGGCTGCGGACAGATTTTTTTCCTGGGTTAACCAAGGATGTACATTGTAAGGGGCAGAAACACAAAGCAGGCGTACCATACCTCTCTACATGAAATATTACAAAATTAATTCAAATAACCCAGAAAAAATTCCAGGCTCTGACAAAGCAAACACAGATACATTTGAGATCATCAGGTAAGACATCCACACATGCACATAAAAACAAAGAACTAGTACTACATTGCATTGAACAAGGAAAATGTCTCTATTTAAAGCCACACTAGATGAAAATAAAACTGTTCTAAGTTTACTGACAAAGGCAGAGTACAGACTGCTATGAAAAGTCCTTCAAGAATATCACTCCACAAAGAACCCCTAAGATGCCTGATGACAAACAATAATATAGCTGCATTTGACAAAATCAAACCACATTTTTCCAACTGCAGCCTTGTTAGTATTTTTAAAATATTTAACACAATTCAATAATTGGAATTTTCATACTTTTGAGACACACATGATTCAACTATACAAAGGTGCAAAGACAAAGTCATCTGGCTAACTGCATTAATCTATGTAGTTCTTAGCCCTCCTTTGCTTCATTGGCAAGAAGATGGGCATAGCAGGCAGGACGGCAAGATAATAATAGTTGGGGACTTTACTAGGAAGAATTTTTAAAAAACATATACAATACTACTGCATATTTGCTAAAATGGTACTATATTAAAGGCATCATGCCAACTATGATTATTGAGTTTGGTCTCAGGACAGCCATCAATCTGCGGGCAGGGGTTGGTCCTTACATTTAATGAGATTCTTCATGCTAAATAAGGCAAACCCACACAGCCTTCTAGACCAGAGCTTTCCAAACTGTGTACCATGAAAAGTTAGTGTGTCCGTGCAGGTGTGTCACACAAGTGTAACAAAAAACTTCTGATTCTATGTGAAAGAAGTAATAAATCATGAATTCTTAAAACTATAAACCAAAGATTTTCATGAGATATATTGTGTCCCCATACATTTTGTTATTATAACTTATGTATGCATCCGTATCTTCTGTAAGGGGATAGTTTAACCTCTGGTTTGCTAGTAAAACTGAATTACTGTGTCACAAAATGATGCATGTCTACAAAGTGTGTCACCAACACGAAATATTTGGACAGCTCTGCTCTAGACTTTAATAGATCATTTAGATTCTACAGTAGCTATTAGAAAAATGTATCATGGTTCAATGAATATATCATTCACATGATAAGATGGAAGCCAAAGCTATCACCAGTTGATAAGAAATAGCCATCCAATGCAACCAAACTATTATGGACACAATAAATTAGAAAGCTGCCTTATACTGAGTCAGTATAAAATATAGGTCAGCAAAAACACATTCATTTACTGAGGACACATTCCACTTCTTGGCAGACATATAATCTTACTTCAAACTTACTAAACTGACTTCTTTTTGCAGGTGAATCAGAAGCAATGATCTCCACGTATTTGCAGAAAAGCTGGTGATTTTTCAGTTCCAGTTGCAGCTACGTATGCCACAAGGCCTTCAGAAATGGCTTTGTGTGTGGGAAGAGAGGCAATAAAAGCCCCAGTACACATGTAGTATTCCCTTTGGATCCTAGTCTCAATCAGAGTTATTTCTTTACTAAATACCATGCCAGTTCTAGCTGGAAGATCAGACAGGTGAACAGTACATAGCTTACTCTTAAAGCACTTCAACTTTTCCACATTAGCTCTCACCTTGGCCCTTAGTGTTCTATATCTTTTTCAAGTGCTCAGGAATGTGGGTTGTTTGGAAACCCAGATAAAGTTGCTTTGTACAAGTTAAATATCTGATCTGAAAATATCCTTCAGAATAACAATGACAGTGGAAGACAGATTGCACAGAAATGTTAAGATTAATAAAGTTTATAAATGCCACAATGGCAAGTTTATAAATGCCATTCTGTGGCCCTCTTTGCTAAATCCTAAACATATTCCAATAATAATTGGATTAGCATGTTGAGTAACGAATGATGTAGGAACCAAAACTGATAGAGCTTAAGCTTTTCTCCTGCCTGCCTAACGATAGCACCAAGGAAGAATAAATTAACCCAATTTGGATCTTATCTGGGTTACAGCTCATGGAAAACTGTAGAGGAGCTTCTCATTGTCCAATCTCAGGAAACCATCTGCAAGCTCTGAGAAGTTGCACCCTTTTGCCCTTTAGATGGCTTCTTTTCACCTAAGGCTTGACCGATATTGAAAAACTTCCTCTGTCCTTCAAGAGACAAGAATATCTAGCAACTTAGGACAGCCTGGTGCAGTTATGAACCCAGTCCCACTTGCTGGGAGAAAATGCTTTCACTCTTTCAACGTTGACTTCAAACTTAAAAAGAAATGTCAGATCAAGCTTTTAGGGGTTCTCCTCTAACCGTCTAGGTTTGCCTTTCTCCCAGAAGAGATTAATCAGCGAGATAAGTTGCTGGTGTAGATGCTCTACGAAAAAGGAGACTGGAGCCTCTGAAAAGTTGTCCCTAGGAAGACAAGAGAACACAGTTATGGGGGGCTATTTACTGGGATCTACACCCCTCTCCTGTCTTTGTCAGGAATAGCAGCCTCCTATGCGCTGACAAAGCAAGTAATATAACAGATGAAGCAATTAATATAACAACCACACAGGCCCCTCGTGCTACAATGAAACCCCATGGCTTGGAGAGGATGTCATACCATTGTGAAGCATTTGTGTTACTGGATAAGGATAATATTTGCACGTTTCAATTCACTGATAGACAAAGTCAGATGTGACATGATTACACTATGACGTCAGCAGGCACACCATTTGCAGAAATAAAATCCAGCTGTAGACACAAGTCCTAAATTCATCATCTTCAGAAAGTACGCTATGCCTTGGTTTCAAGTTTTAAAAACTTTGTACTGATCTAGTTTTTCATATTGTTTATAAGATCTGCATATTTTCATATTGTTTTTCATATTGTTTATAAGATCTGCAGTAAGAGCAACCCTATAAACATTATTCCACTATGTGGATTTAACAGACATTCAAACAAGATGAAAGACTGAGAGAAGAGCAGGGAACACAACAGTGGAGGTATGCAAGAGAGAAAACCCCCTGAAAGGTTTTGAAATAAATTATGTTCATATGCCAACTCATCCCACATGTAGAAAAGCTGCACAAATCAAGTAAGGCATGTGTATGCAATGCAGGACAGACAGAAAGAACAAGCAGAATGCAGTGAATGCACTCTCTGAAGCCAGCTGCAACCTGTGTGGCTTACGCTGCCATTTGATAATATAATCTGAAGATTTTTTTCCCTTAAAGAAGCCAACATTAATAGAGGGTATAGAACTTCTGAACTTCAGAAGAGGAATAGTTGGGAGAAAATAACTCTGGGAACATAAGACACAAATACTAGGACATATATATCAAGAAAATTAAGGCAAAGATGTGCCACTCTCAGTGTCAGGTGCTGTCTCCATTCCTCTCAGAACTCTGGAAAATTGTTTCATTGTTTTGCTTCTCAGTCCCCTCCAAATTCTCAGAGTGGGGGAACAATGTAAGAAAAGGCAAATTGCACCTAAGGAAGAATCCAGGCCAAATGGCATTTGATTTTCCATAAACAGCAGCATCAAAGAGTAAAATAGGAAATTTTTTTGCCAAAATTAAGTTGGCAGAAGGACTGGGATAAAGTACTTATTAAAATGGCCCTTTGGACACATATGTACTGAGTCTGCACTTTGACAAATCTGAGATAAAAGCTGAAAGACTGCAAAGTATCGATTTGTGAGTATGTAAAATGAGGAAAATTTCTGCTAAGCATTTGCAGTAATAGCAGAGTTTGGAGACAAAAGGACAAACGTAAAATCAGAGAGAAGGTGCAATTTAGAAAATTGTATTTAAAATTAAAGAAATTAGCTACAATCATATTACAAATGGATTAGAATAAATAGCAGACTCAAGTAGTGGGAAAAGGCAATCTTAAGGTCATCATGTATTTAATTACTTTTATCTCTTATTTTACACACATCTAGAAAACCACAAATCATATAACTTAGGACTGAAAAACATACTTGGAATTGATTAGGAACAACGTCACTGGTTAGATATCAAGGGTGTTGATATGTCTAAAGGAAGGAGTTTTATCTTTATTTGGATATGAATGCTGTCTGACACTACAGAAGACAGTATGTTCAATTGCTTATCAATAGCAAAATGTTATGGGAAAGGCAATAGGTGAGATCATGCAATGGAGAGAGTAAGAAACACTGAGATGACTGTGGTGGAGGAAAAACACAAATCTAGAATGAAATTGTCCCCACAGGAAAGCATGCCCATTTGGATGGTGGTGGGCAGTATTGTGCTTGTGAAGGACACTGGTAGGGGTTGGTGGCTCTAGTACATGTTCGCGGCACTCTCTGTAACCTGCAATGTCTTTGGAGGGAAGGAGGGCCTTCAGTGGCTCCTCAGCAGTAGGGATCATAGCTGTTTGTAGAAGTGGGATCTTCTCTGTGGAAATGGGAGCCCCAACCACACACATACATACATAAAATGGTTAAGGTTTCCCCTGACATTAAGTCTAGTTGTGTCCGACTCTGGGGGTGGTGCTCATTTCCATTTCCAAGCCGAAGAGCTGGCATTATCTGTAGACACCTCCAAGGTCATGTGGCCAGCATGATTGCATGGAGCGCTGTTACCTTACCGCAGAAGTGGTACCTATTGATCTACACACATTTGCATGTTTTCAAACTGCTAGGTTGGCAGAAGCTGGGGCTGACAGTGGGAGCTCACCCTGCTCCCCAGATACAAACCACCAACCTTTCGGTCAGCAAGTTTAGCAGCTCAGCACTTTAACCCACTGCACGAACAGGGGCAATTTTAATATAGATATAGATAAATATATATATGACTGGAGTTATACTTAAAAATGTACCTGTTCTGACTGAACTTAAGAATAAACCTACAGAACCTATCTTGTTTGTAACTTAGGGACTGCCTGTAGTTATGATTTCTTTCATTCTGACTCAGAAAAAAGGGACCACACAATTGTGAAATCCATCAGAGCAAGAAAGGCCATGGCTAGCAACCAGAGATTTTCATCTTTTCTCTGGATAATGCCAATTCAGGCTACAAATTGCTACTCACCTGAGCACTGAGGTGTTTCCAACAATGAATCCAAGAGGGAAATACAGGAGCATATGGAGGAAGGCCAGCAAGTAACCTGTACAACAAACAGGAAGAAAGAGAGCATACAAATAATGCACAGCTGATGGAGATAAACAAACAAGACTTAGACAGGAACATGCATCATTATTGCTCTCAGATGCTATCATTATTCAATTGCAAATGAATGCTTTGTGTTCTAAAACAGGGTAATAGGTAACTGAAAAATGTGCCATGTGGGTGTTGTACAAACTATATGTACTTCAAAAATATGAGCAAAATGTTACTCACTTGGTCAAGATTGTTTTATATCAGATGGATAACATTTTATTCTAGCATTTTTTAACAAGAACAGCAATGAAAAAATTATTTGCTTCACATTCTCATTATTCTGGTGATGAAAAGTATAACTTTTTCATGTTTCTATATGCAAAAGTTAAGTCTCTAGTACAGGAAAAATTAAGGGATGAACTGACGTATAGAAAACAACTCACTACATGTTATAAACTGAATTGTATTAAGGAGTGAAATCACATACCCACAGTTGTTCACTGCCATGAGATCTCCCACAAGAAGAAAAGGGTATGTCAGAACACTCACGGCAATCTGAAACAAAGAAATGGCTCAGGCAACCTCAGCTAATCAGGACAGGAAGACAAAAAAATGAGCAAAAAGACTTTATACAAAAGAATGAAAACTAGAATAGGTTGTAATGTTTTGTGAATTCAACAAGGTAAGTTTTTGGATCAGAGGATGCTTGACCTCTAGTTACAACAGAAAGTAATACAACAGGCCAAAGATAATGATCAGAAGTATCAGAAAAAATTGCAGTTAAGGGATGGAAGATACCCAATACCAAAGCCATTCAACATCAAAGCCACCCATTCCTTTACGTATTCTGAAAACAGATCTCCATACAGAAAAGATAAGCTGTAATAGCAGCATGTACTTGATTAATTGTGGGATTATTTGATTTTGGCTTGACAGCAAAGGAATTTTCTCAAGCAATGAGGAATCACTTGACCAATCAGAAAATATTAAAGAATAATTCATAGGCCACTACAATTTGCAGATTGATAGAACTTACAGATATAAGAATCAATGCCTTTCTTTTAAATCACCTGACATAGCTCAGGTAGGTGAGATTTTAAGAGTTATACTTATTATAAAACAAGATGCAGGTAAGTATTGATGGTCAGCCTGGAGGCTGCCTATCAATGTTCCAAGTCAAGGTACACGGCTTCAATTTGAAGCTCGCTCTCAAAATAAGTTGCTGCTATTCAGTGCTTATACAAAGGTATAACCTAATGTACACTGTTGTACACAGAACAAGGAAGATGCACAAACACATAGATATGCACAAATATAGAGCCATGAACTTAAATTTTCCAATGGAAGCAACTGCTTACATACCCCCATTACAAACTTGGTGTAACTTCTGATCACGGAGGCCTGGCTGAACTGAAAAGAAATCAGAAGTGTCTTGAAACCAATGACATCAGAGGCATTATGTGAGTACAGGTGAGTACATCAATGTTAGAAAAAGTACAAAGTAACTAGTAGAGGTATATCCATTAAAATCCAGTCAGAATGTGAGCCACATAGCTGGCAACACCATTTCAGACTGATCTAAGGCATAATACTTGCAATTAATTTGAAGTTAACATTTACATTTTTGTACATTTTTATTGTATTGCTTTCTAAGTGTGAGGCACTTTGGATCTCAGTTCTGAGAAAACTGTAGGGTACAAATAAACAAACAATTTCTCCCATGGAAATAATCTTTGTCACACTCCACTTGGCTTAAAATTTGATTTTCTGTCAAAAACAAAATAGGCTTCATTAAAAAAACTATTGGCTCCACAAAATATATTTGAATCTTTTTTGATATTTTCTTACAGGTTAATAATGCACATAGGAAGGCAATTAGAGAAGCTATTTGCACATAGTAGAAGGACCTGGCTAGAATATGTCCAAGAGTCCCACCACGGGAATACATTCTAAATGGCTCATCTTTGGAAATTTACCTCCAAGCTAAACACTGTTAAAGAATTAACATCATTATATTTACCATATTAATAAGGCATGCTTATTTTAAGCTATGGCAGGTATTGGCAACTTGTGGCCTCTCAAATGTTAGACTCCAACTCTTATTAGTCTCAGCAACTACATCCAAAGATAAAGATGAGCAACCTCTTTAGTTTTCAGGGAAATAGTGGGATATGTTTTTTCAGAATCAAGACAGCAATTCAGCAAAGTTTATGGCAATTTGGGTGTCCAATGCAGCCCTCTGTCTATGGGATGTTGCATATGTCTGCTCTTACTCTACAAGACATTGAATGTTTGCCACCTCTTTGTTGCGAACCGCTCTGAGTCCCTTTGGGAAGATAAAACGGTATATAAATAAAGTTGTTGTTGTTATTGCAAGAAACTAAGTAAATTCAGAAAAATCAGAACTCACATTGTCATCCACAGCATAGGTGTTGATAAGGTGAGCAAGAAGATTGCAGCACCACAGAAAAATAACATCACCTAGGATATGAGGAATCAATCCTCTGGAAAGCAAGGAAAAAGACCAAATAAAATAAGATTCTTGAATTCAACTCTAAGTATTTACAAAATGACAGAAGTCACACCTTTATTTGCTATAAGTATGAACTCTATACATGGAGTGAAAAGATTATGCTAAGTTATGGTGACTAAATCAAAGTTAAATAGCCTCAGTGTATTTGTGTGTTAAACGTTGTTTGTCAAACTGGCATTGAATGTTTACCATATATGTGTTGACTGTAATCCACCCTGAGTCCCCTGCGGGGTGAGAAGGGCGGAATATAAGAACTTTAAATAAATAAATAAAATGTGGAACTCGTTTCCAAAAGGTACCAAATCCATCTGAACAAAATTTACAGGATTCAGAGAAAAAAACATGCCGAGAATATGCATTATTTTGCTATACAATGCAATTTCCAAGCCATGTAACAAAGTGATTTTAATAAGTTTTGATCTGTACATAATATTCTACACCTAGCCAACAATGTGCTGCCAGCTACAACTCATATTTCAATACTTTTGGATTCGGTATCTTCTGGAAACAAACTCCACAAATGTGCCACATACACATAGAAAAAGAAAGATACCAATCATTCAAAGTCTCTACTGTGCCACAATGAGAGACAAAAAAAATCACCCCAAATGTTAGTGAACTGAGAACTCAAAACTTTTAAGTGAGGTGTGGATAACCTGTGGTCCTCTTTATGTTGTACAACCCCAATTTCCACCATCCAAAGTCCAAATAACGTGGGATTGATGGTGATGGGCATGTATATTTAAAGGATTACAGGTTCCAAATTTCAATTCTATATGTTACAGCAATAGCAGTAGCTCCAGAAGCTTTTGAATAAAGGAATAATAATTACATTAATGGGTCAATTAAATTCAGTGGAAAATTCATTCAAGTCATCCACCATGCACTTATCTACTAGACCAGCACAAGTTTAGGTAATACAAAGCCTTTGGCTATATGCGTCATTGTATTAAATTACAGCATTCATTCATTTAAGTTCTCACAAAAAACTGGCAATCAAGGAAATTAACAACAATAAATTACAAATAAATGTAAAGATGTAATATACCAACACACAAGTCAGTTTAAAAACAAAGTAACAAAAGTAAACACACGTCTAGCCAGCTAGCAAATCAGTTAAATGTTAAAAAATATATCTGAACAAAAGCTTCAGATAGATTCAAATGTGAAGACATTGATTTTGCTTCCCTTTGGCAGTGCGTTTCAGAACATGATGTGTTGACTGGGAAACTCTCATGTCTACGATGCACATGCCTCTGATAATGGTCAAACCAAGACAACAGCCTTCTCCATGTTGTCGCTGTTATACGCCACCAAGTTGGCTTCTATTTAATAATTTCCCCACCTCTATGCACAAATTGCTAAACAGTTGTTTTCAAGATTCTGACCATGTTTCCGTCACTTTTAAACCTTTGCTTGTGGTCAATCTTTAACCGTTTGAAGTGATTCATAGGTCATCCAATTAAGCTTTTATTTCTTTTTGACCAAAGAAAGTCTTTCAAACATTTTTCTCCAACTAGTTTTGGTTCAGTTTATTTAGTCTGTTACACTTAATATTGCATATCTGTTCTTTCTATGGTCTTTAAATTCTAAAAGGGTGTGCTATATGTACTTTTAAAACTTTATTCTATTTTTTCATTATTTGTGCCACAATCTGTCATTGGCCCATTTTTTTACAGAAAAAATAGAACTTCTCCACCTTCTTTTTTCCAATTATTTGATTTGTGTTCTGGTCACTTGCTGATCCCCACACTGTTTTAAGAAGAGGGCTACTTGCTTCTAGTAACCAGGCCTAGTCAATATGTGTCTGTAGCCTTGGAGAAAAAGCTGGCATTTCCAGATACTTTTCAAAGGTAGTCCCATGAACATTAGAGTAGTCCCTGAGACTTTTACAACAGGAAAACAATGAAAAAATTACTATATTGCGTCTTGTGTCACTCCAGCCCTGATAACTGCTTAGTAAGCTAATAGGGACTGGTGGAACTCAATGGCAATACTCTCAATTACCTGGAAGGCTCACACTTGTTTCTTATTAATTATAACTTCTATCAGAACTCTATGTTTCATCTATTTATATGGATTTGTTACCTCCTCTATACCTTTAAAATCTCTGTTCTTCCAGTTTCTGAACTCTCCAGTCTTTTTGTAGGCCCTATAAAATTAGATCAGCCCTATAGTCAACTTTACAAGTATTTTTAGCAAGCAACAATGATATGACATTTTCCTTAAGAGCACATGTTGTTTATTTTATTTATTTAACTTGTATCCTGTCTTTCTCCTGGCACAGGACCCAAGACTGCTTACACTATATATTAAATCAAAGAACAGTAAGAGTATATGAATAACACATTTTAAAAAATTAAATTAACAATTAAGTCAAAGCATTAATATCTAAAACACATTTGAAACGGTTTTTTAAAACCCACCACACTGTATTAATAAGCCTTTTTCATTTAACCATTTTCTCCTGTTAGAAAATGATCCTGAAAGAGTCTGTTTCAAATGGAATCATCACACATAATTCAAAGGTTTTAAGAGAAAAAAAATCTGACAACCCAGAAGAGTTCCATAGTGTGACCAGATAGTCTGGTGCTTTCCCCTGTTTCTAGCCACTGCAGCAATCCCCACCCTCAAATTATAAGAACTCAAAAGAACACAACTAATTCATTTCATGTAATGCTAAATAATAGCTGTCAAGATGAATTCAGCCATATGTGGTCAAATGCTTTCATGGCCAGAAAAACGGGTTACTGTGAATTTTCTGGGCTGTATGGCCATGTTCCAGAAGTATTCTCTATTATAGCAGGTATCTTCAGAGGTTGAGAGGTCTGTTAGAAACTAAGCAAGTGAGGTTTATATCTGTGGAATGTTCAGGGTGAGAGAAAGAACTCTTCTCTGCTTGTTTAAAAAAACCCTCTAAATTAAAGACAGTAAATAAAGAGCAACACTGAAAAAACAGGGGAAATCCAGAAACGAATCAATCAGGGCCAGGTAACACCTCCAAACAAAGGATTCTCCCAGGCACTAACCAGCCAGGATTTGAAGCTGCAAGGCCATAATATGCTATCAAGGTTGCCAGTTGCAACACTCACACTTGCTTCAAGCAGACAAGAGTTCATTCTCCCACCCTGGAGATTTCACAGATATATAAACCTTACTTGCCTAGTTTTCACAGATCCCTCAACCTCTGAAAACACCTGCCTTAGATGTGGGGGAAAAGTCAGGAGAGAATGCTTCTGGAACATGGCCATACAGCTGGGAAAACTCACAGCAACCCAGTGAATTCAGAAAAACTAGTACTTATTAAAAAGTATTTACAGACAAAATAGGTTCTGTTAATCTCCTTATCACTGCTTTGATTACGTGAACACTAGTAATTATTTTATTTTTCTCAAACAGTAAGTCTTGTACTTCTTCCAGACAAATGCAAGGAGCTATCCCAGGATCGATTAGTTATTTCAGGAGTTCTTCTCATTTCTAAATGATATACAGAGGATACTAGCAGCTGACCAAGTTAGGTTGCAGATTGTAAATACCTGCCCACTCTGGTATCTCTATGCAAAGCCTCAGAATCTCAAAAGGGTCTCCAGTTGGGCAGAAGCACAGATTATGTAAGCAATGCTGATCTTCAAATTATGAGCAAGGTAAAGAGTAACCTCCTTTTTCTACTGGCAAATTACTATTCTGAAAAAGAATTTATTTTCTCATATTTATGATAACTGATTACAGAGAAAGTTCAGATTTAATAAGATTTGTTAGGGAATCAGACAGACTCACGTACGCAAAGAACCCCCAAAGTCCTTCTTCTTTCCAAATTGTCCCAATAGAGCTAAATACACCCCTGTTGAAAAAAGAACATGTTTAGATACCAGGGATTAGTCATATGCCTCTTCAGTCTGCAGCAAATAACAGCAGGAGTATGTTTTGATATGGGAAACAATAATAGTATACATTTCCTGGAAAACAGTGGCATTATCACTCCACTACACAGAGCAAGAGAAACGAGGGGTATCAGAAGCATTACTTCTTGAAATCTACAATGATAAGCCATAGACAACACAAAACTATTTGTGCAGTTCCGACTGGAGGTCTCAGTAAGAAAAATCAAGATCTATTCAGTTAAAAAATAGCTTTAGGATGACACTGTAAACAACGAATTCTTATTTCCCCCTGGTAAAAAGTGTGCTAAAAAGAGTTGACATCATACAGTTGAAATACATCCGAAGTTATTTAACTCTTGCATTTGCAAGTAGTCGAGTGTAGTAGGATGGACAAATTCTTTTTCTTTTCCACAACAATCGCTTCCCTCCACTCCCCCAAATACAATTTTAATCTGTCCTGGCTATAACCAACACTCCACTATGATAAGTGGTCTTCACCCATTCAGGGTTTTGCAAAGCTATGGTTACAACTGAACCGGCAGATATAAACCGGTTTCTTTTTCCACACATTTTGATATTATATTGATACTAAATTTGCCCAAAGAAATACTAGATTGCTTGTGTGCTCACAGCATTTATGCATTTTATATATAAAGACAGTGGACTATGGGAAGAAAATTGTAAACTCTAAGAATGCAAAAGTTTATACTAAGCAAAAAAAATAAATAGATCTTAGCTTCCTTGCTACTTTTCTCATAGCCATCTCTACTATAACAAGACAATTTCACCTGTACTTGACTTCTCGTCCTACAAACTGGACCATACAGCGCATAGAAATTACTGCAATAGACAGAAAAAAGAAAAACACAGTCAACTGCAAAAACACTCCATCCCATCAATTGACACAGCACTTTTAAGCATGAACTATTAGCATTCTATCAGATACTATTAGCCCGGCAGATACCATTTTCCATGCACTATCCTTAATCAAAATATAAAGTATCTGCCCAAAGGTGAGGAATCAATGTGGCAAGAATCAAGTCTTGGACAACCATAAGGACTTAAATTCAGTTGTGTCATGAATTATTACAATTAAATCCTACTGTGTCAGGTATGTGAAACAACTTGGTGTGAAAAAAACTGTCAAATGAAGATCTAACACAAGGAGCTCTGCTTCATTTGTATACTGAACTGTGTAAAAGATAGGTGCAAATTTATCCATTTGCAGCAACAGTCGAAAGTGATATTTCATCCTAGTTTTAACACCTAAAGAGGGGAAATTGTTTTCTGCTGCTGGAAATATTATCTCACTATTGAATTGTTCAAACTGAAGCTGTCAAGCTTAGAGTTATCTTTCCTAATCTTGTACTAAAAACTATTTTAAAGTGAACGAAGAAAACTAGAAAAGGGGACAAAGTAAGAACAGAATGTAATACTCACCATGCAGGGGATGAGAGATAAACCGGGATACACACTGCATCATCATCTCATGAGAAGTCTGATAAAACAAATCAATAAAGGACAATGTGAATCAGCTTTTGAGAAATAGCTCCAATTGTTTTCCCCTATGGATACCTAAATCTATGGATGCTAATATCCCATTATATACAGTGGCATTGTAAAATGGCAAAATCAAGAACTTGCTTTTGGGATTTAAAAAATGTATTTCCAACAGTAATCTTTTAATACAGAGGACCATACTTATAAAAGTACTAAGCAGAAGACTGAACAGAAAAAAGCTGTAGGTGTCACCTCTTTTGCTACTTTTCGGAGGGAGGTTTTCACATCATCCCTGTTAGAAACATGTTCCATATCCTCCAAAGGAAAGGCCTGGGATGTAAAAGAGAGAAGTAAAAAGAAGTAAAGATTAAACTAGCCTCCTTTCACTTAGATGGACTACAACACCTGAACTATCACTAAGATATTGTCACTGTGGATATTCCCAACACCATAGCAGATAAATATGTTGTTGTTGTTGTTCATTCGTTCAGTCGTCTCCGACTCTTCGTGACCTCATGGACCAGCCTACGCCAGAGCTCCCTGTCGGCCGTTACCACCCCCAGCTCCCTCAAGGTCAGTCCAGTCACTTCAAGGTTGCCATCCATCCATCCATCTTGCCCTTGGTCGGCCCCTCTTCCTTTTGCCTTCCACTTTCCCCAGCATAATTGTCTTCTCTAGGTTTTCCTGTCTCCTCATGATGTGGCCAAAGTACTTCAACTTTGTCTCTAGTATCCTTCCCTCCAGTGAGCAGTCGGGCTTTATTTCCTGGAGGATGGACTGGTTGGATCTTCTCGCAGTCCAAGGCACTCTCAGAACTTTCCTCCAACACCACAGCTCAAAAGCATCGATCTTCCTTCGCTCAGCCTTCCTTATGGTCTAGCTCTCACATCCATAGGTTACTACGGGAAATACAATTGCTTTAACTATACAGAGCTTTGTTGCCAGTATGATGTCTCTACTCTTCACTATTTTATCAAGATTGGTCATTGTTCTCCTCCCAAGAAGTACATGTCTTTTTTTCCTGGCTGCAGTCTGCATCTGCAGTAATATTTGCACCTAGAAATACAAAGTCTGTCGCGGCCTCCACGGTTTCTCCCTCTATTTTCGTGAGGAAATGAAAAGTAATAACACCTGTATTTTATTTATTTAAGTTGGTGCCTTGTTTTTCTCCCATATGGGACCCAAAGGGACTCACACCATACATTAAGACAATATCACTATAAAAAACCCATTGAAAACAAAAATTAAGAATAAATATAATCCAACAAAATATTAATTTAACACAATTAAAAGTACATTAAAACCCATTATACTAACCAAACTAGATTAAAAATGTAAGGCTGTTTAAAAGAGAAAATCTTGATTTGCTGGCAGGCAGTGAGGAAGGAGGAAGCCAAACAAGCCTCGTTGGCAAAGTTCCACAGCCTGGAAGCAGCCATTGAGAAGGCTCTCTTTCAGGTCCTCCTCAGTTGAGTCTGTGATGGGGCAGAGAGAATGCCCACCCCTGAAGATCTTAAAATTTGGGCAGGTTCGCATAGGGAAGGACAATCTTTCAGATATCCTGGACTTAAGTTGTATAGGGCTTTATAAGTAAAAACCAATACTTTCAAACCTTGCTGGAAACTGAGTCAATATGTTGTTCTTAATCCCCAAAAAGTTAAAGTAGAGTGGATAAGATAGTTCCCCCATGTCTTCATAAAATCCCTTTAGTGAGATTAGGCTAAGAGATCATATCCTGACTTAGACCATATGTGACCTACACAAAGGGTGCAATGTTTTGAACTCAAGCAACTACACTCAACTTTGCTTTCCTTTTTCATTTCAGTTCCCACCCCCCCTCCCCCTCCTAGGTGATCACTTGTGGTCAAATATGACTGTCTTCCAAAGGTAGTCTTGGTGGTGGGTCCATAAATGACTGTGAAGACCAATTCTGCATCCACATGGTCTTTCACAGCAGTGATTCGGGCATTCAAACAAAGTGACCAGTCCAGCAAAGTTGATAGCAAAGAATCATTGCCTCAATGGTGGTGGTTTTTGCTTCTTTCAGAATGCTAACCTTTGTCCTCCTGTCTCCCACGAGATTTGCAGGATTTTTCAAAGGCAAAGCTGATGGAATCTTTCCTGAAGTCAAGAATGACATTTTATTTATTTATTTATTTGCTTTATTTCTATACCGCATTTTTCAGCCCAAACAGGCAACTCAGGTGGCCCATGTTTTGCACGCATACAATAGAATTGGAAGGATAATAGCTTAACAAACAAGCATCTTGGTATCCCAACCCTGCTATATGCCTGCGAAACATGGACTGTCTACAGACGTCACATGCAACTCCTGGAATGATTCCATCAGCGCTGCCTCCGGAAAATCCTGCAAATCTCTTGGGAAGACAGGCAGACAAACGACAGCATGCTGGAAGAAGCAAAGACCACCAGCACTGAAGCGATGGTCCTCTGCCATCAACTCTGATGGACCGGCCACATTGTCCTGATGCCCGACCATCGTTTTCCCAAAGCAGTTGCTCTACTCCGAACTCAAGAATGGAAAACGGAATGTTGGTGGACAGGAAAAGAGATTTAAAGATGGCCTCAAAGCCAACCTTAAAAACTCTGGCATAGACACGGAGAACTGGGAAGCCCTGGCCCTTGAGCGCTTCAGCTGGAGGTGAGCTGTGACCAGCAGTGCTGCAGAATTTGAAGAGGCACAAATGGGGGGTGAAAGAGAGAAACGTGCCAAGAGGAAGGCGCGTCAAGCCAATCCCGACCGGGACTGCCTTCCACCTGGAAACCAATGCCCTCACTGCGGAAGAAGATGCAGATCAAGAATAGGGCTCCACAGCCACCTACAGACTCACAAGAATTCTGATCCTGGAAGACTATCCTACTTGGCCAACGAGGGATCGCCTAAGTAAGTAAGTAATCCCAACAAATGTCCTGACTCTTGAACACTTGATCCTTAATTTGAAAAAAATGCTGCATCCACAGAGCTCAGATGGCATTATATTTCATCTTTGATGTAGACTTTTGTTGATAAATGGCTGCCTAGGTAGCAGAAATGGGCAACATTTTTTAGTGTTAAATGAGAGTCCAAGCTTTTCATATGCTTCTCTGAAGGGATTTAAAGTGGCTTGTAGCTCTTCTATTGAATGAGCACAGATTACATTATCATCAGCATACTGGAGTTTTATAACGTAAGTTGTTGTTACCATACTTTTAGCTTTCAGCCTGCTAGGATTAAAGAGCTTGCCATCTGTCCGATAGGTGATTTCCGCACTGATGGGAAGATTCCCATCAACAAGGTGTATAATCATAGTGATGAAAGCAGAAAACAATGTTGGGGCAATAATGGATCCATACTGGATACCTGATCCCATTTTTGTTTCCTTCACTCCTAAGGATTTTCCCTCCCAATGAAACACAGAAGAAATTTGCATCTGTCCTTGAGAAGTTCCCTCTTGGAAGCATACATGAGGTTTCTGTTCATTACCCTGGGTTGAAAGCAATAGCTGCTCATGAAAAAGCATGTATCACACCAACTTGTAAAGGAGCATGAATGAGCTTTTCCTCTAAGCAAAGAAGAGAAGGAGGTGGAAGCCTGCTGTCAAATCAGACCATGTTGAGCTTTTGGAACTTTGCTGCAGACAGCAGGAGGGAATGGAGTGGAAGGCCGCCAACTTCTCTTGGCAGAAGACAGACTAGCACTGCTCCCATCCATAATGAGGAGCTGTCACGAAAGATTAGAAAAGTGAAATCAAAGCCCCACTGTCAGAGGCAAAGTAGGCCAAAAAATGTCAAGCTAACAGCCTTTCACAGGAAATGAAAAATTACTATGAAAGAATCAGCACCTCATTATTTTGGTGTGGTTGAAAGCATGAAGACATTCTTAAAGCAGCCTGATAGTGACTTGTTAATTAATTTAAAATGTGGTCCAGAAGAGCCATCAGTATCTGATGGTAGCAAAAATATGTGAGGGATTCAGAAGACTGTTCACGTTATTTTTAAACAAAGTTAAGAACAAGATTTGAGGGACACCCTTTACCATGATGTTATTGGAACTCGGTACCTCAGGGTACATAAAACAATATGCTATGTCTGATTAAAGGCAAACAGACCAGCCGCCACAGTCAGAGTAAGTGCTTGAGCATTTGAAGTGCAGCCCTTTTCAAAAGTCAGTAGGCAGGGATATAACTATAACCTTCACTCAAATGAAGTGTTCAGCTAATTTAAAAAACAACATCCAAAACAGATACCTGGAGAGCAGGCTTGAACCTTACCTTCTTCACTCGCCCTCGGCTTATGGTGGATAAAGTGCTAGAGAGAATGCGAGGACTAAGGCCACGAAAAAGTCCCTTTTTCCCATCCACTTCCACAATGTGTCTGGCTAGGAAAGAAAAGATGGTGGTATTACGTTGTTATCAGTCATCAGCATCACTATCACTCAGCTGAGTAAATATCTACTTTAACCAATACATATAATATCAGAGGTTTTGACTGCTTGCTGGCACTGTAGAATACATACCCGTCTGCCACATTTAACTGCCATGGCGGTTTTGGGATGTTTAGTTTGTTGAAGGATCAACATTCTTTGGGCAGAGGAGGCAAAAGGCCTTATACAACTACAACCCCCACAATTCCACAGAATTAAAGATATGGCAGTTGAATGGTGTCAAACTGCATTAATTCTAGAGTGTAGATGTGGCCAAAGATACTTCAAAAGGGAGAAAATCTAATATTATCTACCAGTGATTAAATACCTTAAAGGGTTAACATTTTACTGGGTTATGTCAGCATGAAGATTCTGTCTTACTTGCCTTCTTCCACCCCAAAGGGTTCATCTCATAACCTTTAAGATGTTTTGAGATGAATTTTACAGAAACCACATTGTTTTTACAACAGAAAGAAAAAACTCAAATGCATCCTTAGTATATTTTCTGATGTTGTTGCTTTTATTTGTTTCTTTTTATTTTGTTGTGTGTGTTTTAATCTGTATTTTTGGGCTTGTCCCCTTGTAAGCCACCCTGAGTCCCTTCGGGGAGATGGCGGTGGGCTACAAAAATAAAGTTGTTGTTGTTGTTACTATTATTATAATTATATAACAGTTGAATTGTTAGAGTAACAATTTTGCAATCCTTACATCTACAATATATTTTGCATTAAAAAACCCTTATCGTTTAGCTCTTCAATTCATTCTATTAACTATGGTTTTTAAAAGGAATATAGTATACAGACCCAATTAAAGTTCCATTATACCAAATACAGTTTTACTGATCAATAGCACAGGGCAATCCCTTAAAAAGTAATAGAATATTGTTCATAATTCCGTCCCCTGACCCCCTCCCCCAAAGATGCTGAGGTGCCCCTATAAATTATTCTTATTTTACAAAAATAAATTGTATGCATCTTATCTGCAATTGCCATACCAATACCTATACAATATTTTAAGGCATGATTTGGCTCTTCATCCAATAACTAATATGCTAATAAAAGTGTAAACATTCTCATCTTAGGGCCCTTCCACACAGCCATATAACCCAGAATGTTAAGGCAGAAAATCCCACAATATCTGCTTTGAACTGGGTTATCTGAGTCCATGCTGCCATATATTCCAGTTCAAAGCAGATAAGTGGGGTATTATTCAGCTGTGTGGAAGGGGTCTTAGTTAAACTGGTGTCTCAAAAATAGAAACCTGTGTAATCATGGAATAGTTTTGATGGGTTTAACTCTCACTGGATATATGTATTTCAGGGACCCAAGCTGTGCTTTATGCAACGTACACATTTTTAAAAAACATGTAAGTATCAACAATTATTTGACAGATCTTGTGGCCTCCCTCTTATGGAGATAAAGAACACAATAAACAGGACAGAGGGCAAAGGGAATTGCCTATTGGACTTTTAAAAAAACCAGGATCATAGGAGTGAAGCAACTCAGTTGCATACAAACAAGTTTATTCTCAATAAATAACTACAGAATTGCATTCTTGCAAGTACGGATTTTTTTAAAAAAACCAAATCCATAAGGGATATGTAATTAAGAAGACCTGGAACCCTATGCAACTCGTGTTTTTGCTTTCTGACTCTCCTTCCACACAGCTGTATAAAATCAACATTGAATTGGATTATATGGCAGTGTGGATTCAAATATTCCAGTTCTATGCAGACATTGTGGATTATCTGTCTTGATATTCTGGGTTATATGACTGTGTGGAAGGGCCCTTAGAATCTTGTGATTCTTGCAAGAGTAACACCAGTAACTCAAACCAAGAGCACTCCAAAGACTATTCCTCACGCACCATTTATATTCTTATAAAAGAAGTATTATACTTAGAAATGACATATGTTAATAAAATAACTGATTCATCTGCATCACATTAGCACTTTACTACTGCTGACTTCTGTATTTGAATTTTGCATTATCCTTATTGGATTACAGACAAAACTGAAATTATTAGTGCATGCTCACCATATGTTAAAAAGCCAGGAAGGTAAAGTACTTTACTTCCCAAAATGTTTCTCCCAACAGTTGGAGGTAGAGGCTCATGTCCGACCTTTAAAAGAAACACCAGTAAGATAGAAACTTATTCTGCAAATAAATCTGCTCCTCGTCCAAATCTTGATTAATGTTTCCATCCTATATTGTGGGTGAAAAACACTTCAGATGTTGTTTGATTCCAACTCTCATCAACTCTGGCCCATTTATAACCCATCAACATCTAGAGCAGTGGTTCTCCACCTGGGGTCCCCAGATGTTTTTGGCCTTCAACTCCCAGAAATCCTAACAGCTGGTAAACTGGCTGGGATTTCTGGGAGTTGTAGGCCAAAACACCTGGGGACCCACAGGTTGAAAATTAATGATCTAGAAGGTCACAGGTTTCCCAGCCCTGCCCTTTATAGAAGCTACTGCTGCTTCCTTTTTTTCAATTGCTTCTATAGTCATTTCTCCCACAACTTTTGGCTGCCCTGAGTCCCCCTTTGAGAGGGGGGGGGGAGAGGGTGGGGTAGAAATGCATGAAATAAATAAACTTTTATGAAATTGTATCCTCGTTTGCAGGCACTGTCTTACCATACATTCTTTACCAAATACAAGAATCTATTCAAATTAACAATACATCTGCATGAGTTTCACATCTGATGTTGCTACTCATATCTCTTTGGAACATTTCTGAAAAAGTGAGTCTACCAAAATGAATTATGTAACCAAGCAAATCTTCTTAATACATATCAATGTCTGATTTTTTTTTGTGTTAATAAACTGCCTGTGAATAACTAGCTGGAAGATTCACCAGCAGGAAGGCACTTGCTAAAAAATTTAAATCGTAAGCTAAGATATACACCTGCAAGCTTGCTGACACGTCTAATCAAAAGCAACAGCCAGGCTTTGAAGTTGCAAGGCTATGTAAATGCAGGCATTCCAAAATCTGAAAACATCCGATATCCAAAACACTACAAGTTCTAAGCATTTTTGGATAAGGGTTACTTGTCCTGTGCCTTTTTTTTATGAAGCATTAACTTGCCCACCCTAAGTGGTAGCCCAATATTATGGGTCCTTTTATAATAAACAATAATAGTGCTGTTGATTCTGCTGTTGTGAATCAGCTGTTGTGGCAGCAGCCTTCATGATTTGATCAGGGATCACCCATAAATGCAAATTTCAGGATTCCAACAGGATGCTGTCAACACAATTAAATCAGGACAATAGCATTATAATTGCTCAATGCTACTGAACCCTGGGAGTTGCAGCCTGCCAAGATCTTTAGCCTTCTCTTCCAAAAGAGTGCCAGTACTTCGCCAAACTACAACTCTCGGCAATAGTATGATAGCTGGGTCCCAATGCTACACTGCTCGCGCAATGCGAGTCTGAATTAGGGGAATATGTCCAGGAGTGAGCGCATTGAGTGAGAGATGCAGCTGCGGTGGAGTTGTTTATTTATTTATTTATAGTGTCAGGAGCAGACCAAACAGTTGCATTGCATTTTTTAACAAACAGACGAACAGAACACAAAGTCTGCAAGCTTGGTAGTTGATTAAATGTCCTTTGACCAGTATCTGGCCACTTGGGAGTGCCTCTGGTGTTGCTGCAAGAAGGTCCTCCATTGTGCATGTGGCAGGGCTCAGGTTGCATTGCAGCAGGGGGTCTGTAGTTTGCTCTTCTCCACACTCACATGTCGTGGATTCCACTTTGTAGCCCCATTTCTTAAGGTGGAGTCGTTGCAATGGAAGAAAGGACAAAAAGGAGGGGGTAATACTCTTACATTACCTCACCCTTATCCTGCCCCTCCTGAGTTAAATTACTTCACTGCTATCCTGTCGCAGCTGCGTCTCTCACTTGCTCCGCTGTCTCGTGCACATTAATTCTGACTTGCGTTGCGCAACTAGCGTAGGGTCCCAGCTATCATACTTTTGCCCAACTCCCAGCATTCCATAGCATGGAGCCAGGGCAGTTAACGTGGTGTCAAACTGCTTTCGTTCGAGACAAGTGTATGCATCCTAAGGCACAAAATTACACTCACTGGTCCTCGGAGGGTTCATCCATACTGTAGAAACAATGCAGTTTGACACCGCTTCCACTGCCTTGGCTCACTGCTATGGAATCCTGGGATCTCCAGTTTGATAAGACACCTTATACAGCGAAAACTCCATAGCAATGAGCCGTGGCAGTTCAAGTGGTATCCAAGGGCATGGTGCCCTATGAAAAACCCCTCCAACACCAAAGAAGACCCAGGGACTCTAAGTTTCAAGCGGCGCCGTCCAGGACTCTACCCTCTAGGCCTGGCTGCTCCTCAACCGCTCACGGGAAACCCCGGAGGCCCCCATGCTGCCCACCTGGACCAGGAGCTTCACGTAGAGCAGCGGGTGGCTCAAGGCCGTGAAGCCGGCGCTCAGAGCCACGAAAAGGGCGTCGGCCCCCTCCGCAGGCCCCGGCCCCACGCCAGGAGCCGCCTGGGGCAGCCTGGGCCCCACCACCACCGCCGCCATCCCTTCGCCTCCCCTCCGCCAGGGAAGTGGGCTTCCGGGTACAACAACAACAACAACGGCGCCCCGTCGCTGTCACATGACTGGGCGCGTCGGGTCAGCTGGCCTCTACGTCATTACGTCACGCAAAGGCGGAGGACTGTCCATAGCGCAGGAAACAAGTTTCTCTTTCTGCATAGAGATAGAATATTGTAGAGTGACGGCAAAGTAGAGTACAACAGGGGTTTCCGCGTTTCTTTCCAATCTTTTTTTCCTCTGTAGGGCAAAGGTGGTCACTTTCCAATAGCTAGCAAAATTCAGCATTGTGATGTTAGCATTTGCAAGTGCATTGGATCTGCATTATGTGGTAAGTGTAGATCTATATAATATAGTTTATGGGCCACTAATCTATATAAATAAAAATGTAAATGTTGCTTTTGTGGTGTTTTATAATGTTTAATGTTTTAATTGGTATTATGTTTTTATGTATACTGATTTGTTGGAAACCGCCTTGAGTTGCAGATTAGCTGAAAAAGGCGGTATAGAAATACAGTAAATAAATAAATAAATATTTGGAGGCTCCTTCTTTGGAGGCTTTTTAAACAGAGGCTGGATGGCCATCTGTCAGGGGTGATTTGAATGCAATATTCCTGCTTCTTGGCAGGGGGTTGGACTGGATGGCCCATGAGGTCTCCTCCAAGTCTTTGATTCTATGATTCTATGATTCTATGAAATAGATAAATAGATAAAGAAATAAAGTTCGTTTATCTATAACTCAAAAGCCACAGGATTAATTGACACTAAATTTGGACACAACACACCTATCAGGCCAAGGAGTGACTCATAAAAACACTGAAAAACACAGTGGACGGGAATTAAAAAGCCAATATATATATAAAAATACATTACAATGAATGCACGAAACTACATATATACACATACATACACACACAAAACACACATACACAGACAGCAATGCGTGGCAGGGGACAGCTAGTCATATAAATAAAAATGTAATGTTGGTTTGTGGGATTAACATAACTCAAAAAACACTGGATGAATTGCTGCCAAATTTGGCCACAAGACACCTACTAACCCAAGGAGTGACCACCACTAAAAAAATTTGATTTTGTCATCTGGGAGTTATAGTTGCTTGGATTTATACGTGGTTCACCTACAGTCAAAGAGCATTCTGAACTCCACCAGTGATGGAATTGAACCAAACGTGGCATACAGGACTCCCATGACCAACAGAAACACAAGAAGGGTTTGGTGGGCATTGACCTTGAGTTTGGGAGTTCACTTACATCCAGAGAGCACTGTGGACCCAAACAATGATGGATCTGGACCACACTTTGCACGAATATTCCATATGCCCAAATATGAACAGAGATGGAATTTGGGGGAAATAGACATTGAGATTTGGGAGTGGGAGTTACTGAGATTTATAGTTCATCTCCAATCAATGAACATTCTGAACCCCACGAATGACAGAACTGGGGCAAACTTCCCACACAGAACCCCCATGACCAACAGAAAATACTTAAGGCCATCCAGTCCAACTCCCATTCACTAGGGCAAGAAAATGTAATCAAAGTCCTCCTGACAAAGAGCCATCCAGTCATAGATATAGATAGACAGATATGATTCACGCACACTCACAGATATAGTATCATAGATTTGAAAGGGACCCCTAAAGAAGGACAATTATATGCTGCATATTCCAGAGAAGGCAAACCAGACACTCTCCATATCGACACTGACAAAGAAACAACAAGAAATACTGTTTACTCACAAGCATAAAGAAATTACATATATTAGAAATCAACACTTTCTCATTACTTTATTTTCCAGATCACCAGACTGGGCCACAGCAACACGTGGCAGGGGATGGCTAGTACTATATAAAGCAACAGATATCTAGGTATCTGTATATAAATAAGTGTTAAATTGTTCAATACTAAACCAATTATCACTGCATTACACAATGAATATATTCTACACAGTAAGATTATTGTTGTATCAACACCATGGGCAAAATCTAAATAAACATCAATATATTAAATCAAGAAAAACATCCATAATAAACATTAAACAACAACAACAACAAAACTTTATTTATACCCCGCCACCATCTCCCCAAGGGGACTCGGAGCGGCTTACATGAGGCCAAGCCAAACAACACATCAATAAAAACAACAAGCAATAAGCAAATAAAACGACACAATTAATATAGCTCACATATAGACAATAACAATAAATTCTCATTCACAAAATGTTGTGAGTTCTCGACAGTTACTCGTTATCACTTCTTTGAAATGTTATTAAACAAAATTTCAGATTATGTTTCTTCTGTAGAATTGACTGACTTAACCTTGGAGGACCTGGGGGTGGCGACGGCTGACAGGGGGTTCTGGCATGGACTGATCCATGAGGTCACTAAGAGTTAGAAGCGACTGAACAAATAAACAATAAACACTGCCATATAATTCAGTTCAAAGCAGATAATCTGGATTTTATATGGCATTTTATATTGCTTCCGACTCTTCGTGACCTCATGGACCAGCCCACACCAGAGCTTCCTGCCAGCCGTTGCCACCCTCAGCTCCTTCAAGGTCAAGCCAGTCACTTTAAGGATACCATCCATCCATCTTGCCCTTGGATGGCCCCCTCTTCCTTTTTCCTTCCATTTTCCCCAGTATCATTGTCTTCTCCAAGCTTTTCTGTCTTCTCATTATGTGGCCAAAGTACTTCATCTTTGCCTCTAATATCCTTCCCTCCAGTGAGTAGTCGGGTATTATTTCCTGGAGTATGGATTGGTTTGATTTTCTTGTGGTCCAAGACATTCTCAGAATTTTCCTCCAAAACCACATTTCAAAAGTGTCTATCTTCCTTCGTTGAGCCTTCCTTATGGTCCAGCTCTCTCATCCATAGGTACCTACGGAGAATACCATTGCTTTAACTATGCGGATCTTCGTTGCCAGTGCGATGTCTCTAGTCTTCACTATTGTATCGAGATTGGTCATTGCTCTCCTCCCAAGAAGTACACGTCTTCTGATTTCCCGTGTAAACTCATATAATCCAGTTCAGAACAGATCATGTGGATTATCCGATTTGATAATCTGAATTATATGGCACTGTAGACGGCACCTCAGGCTGGATCTACACTGCCCAATATTTGAGGATCCAATCTTAGATTATCTTCTTATCCCAGTTTATCTGGCAGTGTAGACTCATATAATCCAGTTCAAAGCAGATAATCTTGGATCAGATCCTGGGATATAGGGCAGTGATTCAGCCTCATATAATGGGTTCAATGCAGTTAAACTGCATTATCTGAGTCTACACTGCAATATAATTCAGTTCAAAGCAAATAACCTGGGATCAGAAACTGGATTAATTGACAGTGTACAAGGGGCCAAAAACAAACCTCCACTGAACAAATCTTTTTTTAAACCCCTATGATAGATTTGTCTTTAGGGTTGCCAAAAGTCAGACATAATACTGTTCATTATCCTGTCCACTCTCCCAGTAAGATGGTGAGATGCCTCGATATGCTATAATTGTGTCTGACTCTTTAAATAGTCAACACTCACTCAAAGCAGAATTGTAATTGTCGAAGGCTTTCATGGCCAGGATCACTGGGTTGTTGTAGGTTTTTCGGGGCTATATGACCATGTTCTGGAGGCAATCTTTCTCCTGACGTCAGGAGAAAAATTGCCTCCAGAACATGGCCATATAGCCTGGAAAAACCTACAACAACCCAGAATTGTAATTTATAAAAATGTCTTATTTTTTTCTTGTAGAAAAATGGTATGATAAAAAATAGGGCATCAAATCCTTAACTTCCATATCAATACTCATATAATATCTTTTACAGAAAAGTGTTTTCTTAAAATAAACATTTCAAGACATGGTTTGGCTTTTCAGATAATTACTGTACTGTTCTAAGAAAAGTGCTGACATCTCCATCTAGTTAAACTGGGTTTCAAAAACAGAAATCTGTGTAATCATGGGAAAATAGTTTTGATGGCTTCATCCCTCACTGGACATGATCTGTGGCCGCATCTACACAGGCTTATAATGAACTGCATTTAGAAAGTTCATTGTAGACTCAGGCTGGTAGTGTGGACTCAGATAACCCATGCTGGATCTACTATACTATATGATCTAGTTTCAGAATGCATGTTATCTGCTTTCAACTGGACTAAATGAGTCTACACTGCCAGATAATCCAGTTCAAAGCAGATAATCTGGGATCAGATCCTGGGATATAGGACAGTGTAGATCCAGCCTTAGACGGGGGCTGAGAATGGTGCTGAATCTAACATCCTTAAGGCAAGCTCTTAAAAATCAGAGCAGCAGATACAACAGATAAAGCTGTCGTGATTTAGCTAGGACTAGCAGTGGTTCTCAACCTGGGATCCCCAGATGTTTTTGGCCTACAACTCCCAGAAATCCCAGCCAGTTTACCAGCTGTTAGGATCTCTGGGAGTTGAAGGCCAAAAACATCTGGGGACCCCAGGCTGAGAACCATTGAGAGTCCTTGCCTGGCAAGCGTATGCTAAACCAGATTATATGGCAGTGTAGACTCATATAATCCAGTTCAAAGCAGATAATGTGGATTATGTGCTTTGATAATATGGTTTATATGGCACTGTAGAAGGGGCCATATTCCACACTGCCATATAATACAATACAAATCAGATAATCTGGATTTTATAAAGCAGTGTAGATCCAGCCTAAATCGCCTTCTACACTGCAATACAAAGTCAATATTATCTGCTTTCATCTGGATTATATGAGGGCCCTGTTACACTGCCATATAATCTAGTTCAAAGCAGATAATCTGGATTTTATATGGCAGTGTAGAAGGGGCCCTAGAGACTCATAGAGAAATGTTCTCCCATATTTAGATAGATAGATAGATAGATAGATAGATAGATAGATAGATAGATAGTTTTTCACCTTTGCAAGTGTCCTAGGTCCCTAACCCCAGCAAATATGAGAGCTGGCTGTACCTCAATAAACTATAAATCTCAGTAATAGTATGGTGGCATGACAGTAAAAATTATATCAGAGTGTGTGGTGAAGATGCACGTTAAGGTCCCATCTTCACTGCCA